CTACGCTGCCCTCTTTTTGTTTTGTACTTTTTTGCCTGAGTGAATAGAGAAGCATAGAGGCAAAAAGTAAAGACTAAGAATAAAGACTGGAAAAAAAGAAAGAATATTCTCTTGGTAATAGCACTGGACTGCTGCTGCTGCTGTTCTGACTTTCTCTTTCTCTCTTTCCTTTCTTTCTTTCTCGAATTGCAGAATCGAGTGTGTGCTCTGGCAGTGGTAGTAGCAGTGGTGGTGGCAACAGCGAGAGTGAGAGAAGCCAGGTCCGATTTAATCATGTTAAAATGCTTTTACTCAAATTATTTTCCCTCTCTCTGACTGCCACTTTTTGCCAGTTGCACCATTCTCAATCTCGTGTGCTTGTGTGTGTTTGTACCGTGCTGCTGCTGCTGCTGTTGCTGCAACCGCTGCTGTGTCAATCTTTCATATAGCCCGACTCTTTTCCGAGACCCTCTCTCACTTTCTCACTCACCAAATACACAGACCAGAAAGTGTACCAGGGAGTCGGGGGCACCACCAGCACCACCAAACACTGAGCAGTCCAACTCCACCCAGTCTGAAGAAGCACTCACTGCGTGTTGCCGACTGACTGCTGACTGATTCTGCCATTCTGTGTGTGTATGTGTTTCATTTGCGTGTCAGAATCGCTGGTTTGCCGTTGCTGATCACACTGTCTTTTTCTCTTCCTTTTCTTCGGCACTCGATCACAGCCTGCTGCTGCCTATAGCTAGGGCGCCAGTTTCAGAGCGTGCAGCCACATCACTCATCTGCTTGGCGAACACAAATTCTGTCGCACATCGGTGTTGTGGAGGAAAGTAGAGAGGTACATTGACTTGGCTGCACGCAACGGCTCCAAAAAGAGGAGAGAAACACTGATCTCTCTCTCCGTCAATAAGTCACCGGTGTCTTTTAGCAGAAAAAAGAAGAGGAGGAGAATGATTCCAGCGAGAGAGTCTCGGAGAATGTGCAAACATTTGGTTCCAACAACAGTACAGTGCAGTGCACAAACAACAAAGTGAACATCAGCTATCAATAAAAGAACAGAAAAGGACAATATCAATAATTGAGGGAGCACTTTGCTGGAGCTGCCTCAGCACCACCGGCGCGGTCACTGCCGATTATTAATAATTCAGCCAACTCAATTAGTCGGTGGTTGCGCTAGTGCTCCTCTCCTTCTTCTCCTGCCTGCCTGACAGCTTTTAGTCCGTGCGAATAGCCTCAGTTTTTACTAGCAACAGCGAAATGGCTCACTAAAATGAGAGAAAGAGCGAGCGACTTTGAAGTGCTTCGCTGCACGTGCAGTGAATGCACCCGGCCATTTCACGCGTCACTAGGAATTGCGTTGCTCAACTGTGATGCCTCATTCTCTCTTTTTCCTGCGCTAGTTATTCTGCACCGGTGAGCAGGAATTGTCTGTCTGCTTGGATTGTCTTCTGCCGGAGGGAAGAGAGCAGGAGGAGGAGGAGGACCACTTTTGCGGTTGCTAGCACCAGCAATGCATAGGTACACACCAGAATAAGCCTAACAGCACGGAGAGATAAACCTGTCGCGCCCTTTGACCCGAAAGAGAGGTCTGTGCAACTCCCCGTTGTGAAGCACTTTGGGCTCTGTTTTTTATTGGTACTGGTGATGAGTAGTAGTTAACTGTAAATGGCACCCCGCCTGGTGACGAATGATAGTCCACTCTACTGGTAGTTCCCTGTTCCCGATTTACCTGATTGTCGGTGGATAATAATAAAAAACAGACTGGACAGCTGTAAAAAGGAGAGAGGAGGGGATGAACCGATAGGTGCTACAAACAAGTCATATTTTTTATTCTGACCATTCTTTTACTACTGCTGCTCATGGTTTGGGTTGTAAAAGAGTGGATCTAGTACTGAGCCGCTGCACTTAGCATTTGCATAATGGTTGAGAGTGCAGTGGATAAACGAACAGTCAAGTCAAAATGCTGCTGCTGCTGCTGACACTCTGACACCAGACACAAAGCTCACAGAAAAAGTCAGTTTTCACGTCAGCAGNGAACAGTCAAGTCAAAATGCTGCTGCTGCTGACACTCTGACACCAGACACAAAGCTCACAGAAAAAGTCAGTTTTCACGTCAGCAGCCACGCCCAAGTGGTACTTGGTAGTCCGGTGTGCAGTGCACTTCGATCAACAGCAGCAAAAGCAGCAGCAGCAGTTCCATAAAAAACAAGAGGGGTAGTAAAGTAGTGGAAGGAGTGAAGCTGCAGAGCACTCCTGAATCACCACCACCACCACCCGATGACAAGTGAAGGCAGTGAAATTATTTTCACTGTGTTTTGTTGCCATCCTTTTAGTTTAGTACTGCTGCTGCTGCTGCTATTGTTTCACCGCCGGAGCNAGGCAGTGAAATTATTTTCACTCTGTTTTGTTGCCATCCTTTCAGTTTACTGCTGCTGCTGTTGCTGCTATTGTTTCACCGCCGGACAAAATGTGTGTGTTCCAATAATAATACCAAACAACACACACAACACGGCGACCATTAGAGGATGGCACAAAACAGAGCATTGCTTGCACTCTATCTCCGCCTGCACTAGCTGTGTGCTCACTGAAGTGAACCATTTTGCTCATAGTCACACACACACACAGACAAACCGATTCAGAAACCTAGACACATAGACAGAGCCAAAAACTCATACTCCGACACTGTGCACGCACAAATTAATGATCGGATGATCAGGCAGTCAAAAAAGAAGAAAAACGCATGCACATTCAGCTAGTCATTCAGTGAGGCACTAAGCACTGTNGTGCACGCACAAATTAATGATCGGATGATCAGGCAGTCGAAAAAGAAAAAAGAAGAAAAACGCAGGCACATTCAGCTAGTCAGTCAGTCAGTGAGGCACTACCAGNGTGCACGCACAAATTAATGATCGGATGATCAGGCAGTCGAAAAAGAAAAAGAAAAAGAAAAAGAAACGCAGGCACATTCAGATAGTCAGTCAGTCAGTGAGGCACTACCAGCACTTGCACTGAATTGACGCAGCAGTAAAGGCGATGTCTGTACGATTAATCATTTATGGCGAGATTGTCTGGTACTGCTGCTAATAGTAACTAGTAGTGCACTAAACTGAACTGTGCGGCAATCAAAGCAAAGCTCAAACCTTTAGCAAACGACTGACCAGACACTTTTTTATTGCCGCCACCAGCACTAGCTTGTTGTGGTCACTAGCAAATCAGACATCATCATCACCACTTTCTGGTGGTGGTGGTTCTGCTGATTTGTCGTCAATTTTCGGCTGGCTAATTGAAATGTGCAAACGCTGGCGTTGTTGATGATATTGTTGCCGCTGCACCTAATGACACAAAGCGGTCTGCGGTTTACCGCAAGGGAAACACACAACACTCAAGCTAAATTGGCTGCAATTGAGGCAAACCAATGACTTACTTACCTTTTAGTCTTCCTGTAGTAGTTGGAACAGTTGAGTCGTTTGCATGTTGATAGTCGAGTGAAGATAAGATTGACAAGGGACAAAAAGGCAAAAGAGAATGAAAGAGTAAGCATTTTCTTATCAGCAGAAATCAGGCAGTGTGATTTCTCTGTTTGCGGTGAAAATAGAAGAAAGGTGTGCCCCGGTGTGAATAGACAAACAAAGGAGATGCCTTATGAAGCTTTTACCATCGAGACAAAAAGAGAATGAAGTATGATACCATGAGATTCTGCTGCTGATTGTGCCCCCAACTGACTGCTCAATCTGTATTCATTCATTCNCTGCGGTGAAAATAGAAGAAAGGTGTGCCCCGGTGTGAATAGACAAACAAAGGAGATGCCTTATGAAGCTGTTACCATCGAGACAAAGAGAGAATGAAGTATGATACCTTGAGATTCTGCTGAAGATTGTGCCCCCAACTGACTGCTCAATCTGTATTCATTCATTCTNGATAAGATTGACAAGGGACAAAAAGGCAAAAGAGAATGAAAGAGTAAGCACTTTCTTATCAGCAGAAATCAGGCAGTGTGTTTTCTCTGTCTGCGGTGAAAATAGAAGAAAGGTGTGCCCCGGTGTGAATAGACAAACAAAGGAGATGCCTTATGAAGCTGTTACCATCGAGACAAAGAGAGAATGAAGTATGATACCTTGAGATTCTGCTGAAGATTGTGCCCCCAACTGACTGCTCAATCTGTATTCATTCATTCTTTTTTTTCTATTCATCCTTTTAGACTCACTGCCGCGATGCAGCGGCTGCGAGGGCATCATCTTCGATCGCTTCATCCTCAAGCTCGGTCAGAATGAGAATGAGAGGCACACGTGCTGGCACTCGGGCTGTCTGGTGTGCTCCGACTGCAACGTCGGCCTCACCGTCAAGTGCTACATGAAGAACGGCCAGCCCTACTGCAAGGATGACTTCTACAAGCGCTTCGCCAAGACGAGATGTGCCAACTGTGAACTGGGTAAGTGCTGAAGTGGTGCTGCTGGTAAACAAGTGATCTCTATTCACTTGCTGAACATTATACATTTGGGTCATTGAACACGCTTTGTACTTTTTGTTTTGCTTACACTTTTCCACTTCACACAGGCATCGCACCGACGGCCATCGTGAGGCGAGCCCAGGAGAACGTCTATCACTTGCACTGCTTCAACTGTATCCTCTGCAAGCGGGCGCTGAACACAGGCAGGTGGCTTTGTTTTCACTTCTAGTTCAGTTTTTTTACATTTGTAGCTTTTGAAGTTGCTTACTTCCCAGTTTTAGCGGCTTTAGAGTTAGCTCGTTTTGTTTCCTTTTTTTGTAGTCAGTCACTCGTGCCTAATTGATCACTCTCTAATTGATTGCCATTACCATTTTTTGCTGCCACTTCTACCACTACCACAGGCGATGAGTTCTACCTGATGGAAGACAATAAGCTGGTCTGCAAATCTGACTTTGAGTCTGCCAAGCAGAGAGGTCAGTACCGGGAAATAAAAAAAATAAAACTTTATTAAACCACTTTTGCTTTTTCGCTTCCGTTTAGAATCTTCCTCAAAACGACCGCGAACGACCATCACCGCAAAACAGCTGGAAACGTTAAAAATCGCTTACAACAATTCGCCCAAGCCGGCGCGGCACATCAGAGAGCAGCTGAGCCACGACACTGGCCTCGACATGAGAGTGGTGCAGGTAATCGAACAAAATCAAAGCAGAACTAAAGCAGCTGCTGAAGATAATCTCAAGCACACATTTACTAACAGTTCCCAAACTCACTTTCCACTTTTAGGTGTGGTTCCAGAACCGCCGGGCAAAGGAGAAACGCCTGAAGAAGGACGCCCACTCGAGCAAGTCGCCCAACTCCTCCAACTCCCTCTCCACCTCGCACCTGTCCCCGGGCGGCACCGCCCACCCCAGTTCGCCCTCCAGCTCGAGGTGGTCCGGCAATGGAAACGGCCTGTCGCTGGACACCATGCCCGCTTCCAATGCCTCCTCGACGCTGCTCGCCAATGAGACCTCCACCTCATGTTCCAGCTGGTTCGATGACGCAATCATCGATGAGGAGAGCGATGATGAGGGTGATGATGACGACGCCGATGACAGTGTCGTCTACTAGGGGGGGGGAACTAGTGGGGAAACCTTTTTTCCGGTGCAATCTTGATCATCAATTTCATTATCATCATCTCCTTTTCCAAAGCTCATTTCGGCCGCTGGTGCACATAAACACAAACCCTCTTTTGTTGTTGTCAATATTGTCGACTGTACAGATCTGAACTTCAGCAGTCTGAAACGAAACCAAATCACATTCCTTTCTCTTAGCGAGACTTTTTTTTTGAAAAAAATCTCGCTTTTAATCTCGC